CGCTGCCAGCGTTAAAGGTACACTGCCACAGGGACCAAACTTTTAAAATTTGTTTTAATTTTCTTTTTATAATTTTTAAATTATTATTATTGCTAAGTAGGTTATAAAAATATGACACTTACAAATTAGTGAAAAACAAACTACAAATCATAGTTTCTACTAATGCGTATATGGTACCTGATAGGTGGTTAATAACGCTTTCTCTAAATTGATCAGCCCACAACACATATTATATTAAGCTCTGAAGCAGCGTTTCATTACGTAAATAATAGCCGTATAGAGCACTTAGTAATACAAATTTTGTAATAACATTTGACATTTTCTCGAAGTAACTTCTGTATATTTAAATTAATTTAATAGATTCCTTGAGCTGAATACAAGTATTCAAATTAAAGGAAAACCAATGTAGGTTTTGGAACAAGGCGGGGAACTATTTATTTTGACCTATTGAGGCTTTTGGGGTTCTCATTTTCCTCAAGCCAGATTTCAGTTTTATGGTTCGAATCTTTGTGAGGACTTGTTTTAATTTAGATTTATGTTACGTTCTAGAATACACATAGACTATATCGTGAGGTAATCCTGTCATATATTTTGGGTCGCGTCACTATTTACGATAATATTTAAAAAAAAAAAGTCATACTATTTATTGTATTATTTCAATGATTGACTATGAAAAACAGAAAAACAATAACTAACCTTAAAATATAATAACTAGAATATATTATTAAAAGGAGTCCCTTTAGGCAAAGTTCCGAAGATACTGGCAGCGTTCCCCTTTGAATATCTAGACTAAATCTTTGTTTGACGTAGCTGCTAGCTCTTTGGTTTCCTGTGATGTCGACAAATTATTATATTATTATTATTTATATTTATTGTATTGTATTGTATTTAAATATCTTAATTTAGCAGATCATCTGTCATTCATTATAAAAATTAAATATACCCTTAATCGACGAGCATGAATGGTGAATGTTATGCAAGGAGATGAGGCGAGAAAGGTATATCAGGACCGTAGCAAGTGGAGATCCGTGGTCTCTGCCTCCCCTTCGGGAAAAAGGCGTGAAGATATCACCCTCAATTAGACCAATATATATCTATATATCTATTTGTTTTTGGCAAGTGCAGGAATAGTTTAAGTTTAGTTTAATCTCATTCGAGTGAAATTTATAAAATAACCCATTGTCTGCAATATATTTGTATGAATTACTTTAGTCACAAGAAAGTTACTGTTTAATATTAAACATGTTGAAGTTTCGCTAAAATAGGGAATTGGGTTTTTCATTTCATTTCATTGATGAATTCTTGAAGGCATCAGCCATCTTTGCATATGACTCTCACACCTCGACAGAGATTGCGCGTTCGAATTACGATTACCAATGGACTTGGAGCGCAACTAACACTTGCTCGTACGGAAAAATCAAACAACGCGAGAAAACAGTGCCTTATTCAAAAATCTATGTCGTGTGTCAGGCACAGATGCCTGATCACCTAACTAGGTGGGCAACTGCCAAGGCCAACGCCAAGAAGTTGTATTTCCACTGGATTTTTATCCTCATAGTACGCTACGGTGATAAGCATTATATCATGGAGGCTATTATTTATGAATTAAAGTTTATAAATCTCACATAACACATGTATTGAATATAACCTTTAACCGCCAATAAAAACGTATGTAATTAATTAAGAATGTAAACAAATGATATGTATTATAATTTAATACAATAACATAGATAGGTATATTATAATTAGTATACATATATTAAAGTGACGTCGACTCTGCGTTGACCCATTTCCATTGCGAGTGCTTTTGTAAGTGGATCTGTTGTGGAAGTTCCTTTGTATTTATAAAAAGAAATAAAGCAGTGGTGCTACAGCCTTTTAGGTCTGGGCCTCAGATTTTTGAATCTGTTTTATAATCATTTGTCTATCTAATAGGCAAGTAGGTGATCAGCCTCCTGTGCCCAACACTTGCGTTGACTTTTTGGGTCTAAGGCAAGCCGGTTTCCTTGTGTCTTCCTTCACCGTTCGAGCGAATGTTAGATGCGCATAAAGAAAGAGTCCAATGGTGTACGGGAGATCGAACCTACGACCTCAGGGATGAGAGTCGCACGCTGAAGCCACTTGGCCAACAACACTGCTTTGTATCTATACAAAGTCAAAAACAAAGAAGTGACCCACAAATCGAAATACGCAGAATATGTAATTTAATCTTATTTACCTACGTACATTGTCTTCATCACACTGTCAGAAAGATTGCGTTAAGTGTGCACTGATTTAGTTTTTATTTATATACAGTGTAACTAACCTCTTTATAACTTCATTCGATATAACGAAAGAGTCTATAACGCAGAAATGAGTTAGGGGAGCGTGGGGCTAGTTGTAACAATTTTAACAAATAATTGAATATCATGAAGAATATTGGCTAAATTACTACTAAATAAACTTTGATCGATACTCTAACTATTTATCTATGAAGTCGAATCGAAATATTATCAAATCTACAGGTAACTATCTCACAATTATTTTTTTTCTAAAAAAAGGGAAGGGTTAAATCTTACCCCCGTGGTTGGGGCTAGTTGTAACAACAAAAATGACACCTTCAATCGTTTAATTTTTTCACATCTTGGATCATTTTATCTCTTAGTTCTACCTTACATCTTACCATCGCAGATTTGTTAACTTTTCCTTCCCCTTTCACTTTTCTTTATCATCTTCTTTTTGCATTTTCTTCATCTTTTCTTCATATTCTCTCTCAAAGCTTCATTTTCAGGCGTATCAGTCAGAACAGCAGACTTCCTTTTGCGTCTGCAATTTATATTTGTTTTTCGTGGTGGCGCCTTTGGTAATGGTCTAACTTTTGATGGGGAAAAATTGATTTTGACCAGAGCAACTTGGAGTTAGTTTGTTCGCAGTTTCAATGTGGCGTATAATTTCTGTTGTGCTGATATCCACTTCAGGAGCAGAATCTAATAGTTCTGGATGTTTAAGACTCAACGATAAAGAAATTCTCACTTTCATTTAGAACATTTTCTGATTGTTATGTAGGCTCTGGATGATCAGTAACATAAGAGAGCGCAAAGTCACTATCTTGGAAAATATCAACATTCAAAGGCCAAATACCAGAAGCTTTAAGTCCACTGATAAAGACTCCTTCACTACACTTGGGATGTCATAAATTGTCATCGTTTTTCCTGGATTATTATACATCCATGCAGTCTGTGCTCTGTTCACGTAGTTTTTAAAAGGCCCGTAGACTCCTACATACATAGGTTGAAAATTGTGGGAGCAATGGGAGGAAAACTATAACATGATAACATTGTTTTCTTTGGCTTTTTCGACAACTGAGCTGACACTACTCACAACTGAGAGACAACATTCACATGTGAGCCATGATTATCGAGCAGTAACAGAACTGGCTCTTTCTTGGTAGGTTTCGCGTGTTTGATAAAGTGATCTACAAAAATCAAAAATTCTTTATCAGTCATCCTCCACCCTGAAGAATTGCCAGCTCCAATGCAATCTTCAGGTCCACCGCGAATGAACATTTGTGAGTATTTAAGCCGGGGAAAACTGAACATCGGCCGTCAGTAACTTACAGCAATCTGGGGGCAAATTGTAACATGTTACAACAAACCCCGAGGTTTTGTTACAACTAGCCCCTTGATAGAGTTCTTAATATTTATCACGATAACTATTAAATTAACTTAGTAATCTTGAAAACTGTTATACAACATCATAAATAGTTATATTTTAGCATAAAATAAAATACATAAAACTTCAAAGTTACGAAAATAGTGAAACTAACCAAAAATTTACGTTAGTAAAATTATAGGTTTCCTGTCAACAATTAAGCGTTTGCACACCCACTCACTGAGCCGCCTGGTAGGACCCTGGCTGTGGTAAAGTGGCGTGGCACGTTATAAGTTGAAGATTAGGTAAAAAAAACCGTGAATAAAATTCAAATTCCTATTGAAAAAGGTCTGTTACTATTTACCCCTGTAACAACAAGCCCGCGCTCCCCTAAATTTGTTTGGTTTAACACAAAACCCATACATAAAAATCTCGGCACCTTGAAATTCGTTATAGAGAGTTTACAATGTATAAATAAATAATAAAACTTCATTCATGAAATATGCAGAATTCGTATTATAAAGGACTTATTATCCTCAGGCTCGGTACTAACTTTCTAGACCAGTGCAGATAGCCTTCAAAATAAATAAAAAGTGAAAAAAATTACAGTAGGATGAAACCCATTAGAAAAGCAGGGGAATATGATCAAAATGAAAGGAAAAATAAATTACGGTCGATCTGAGGTCGGGAAGGGTGGGGGGTGGGGGGTGTGTTGGGGGAGTTTTAAGGGTAAAAAACTGTTTATCTCGATTTCCGGCAAAACTAAAAGTCCTATCGAAGAAAGTTAAATGGCAAAGTTGTAGGTAATAAAAAGATCTAAAACTTTTGTATTCACACAATTTTCACATAACCTCAAAATTGGTGTGAAAAATTAAAAAAACCAAGTTTTTGGTTTTTTATCTTTTACAAAAATTTATTTTTTTAAACGAAATTTGGTGAAAACTTACCTTATTATGTCCCAAATATTCTGTAATTTATTTGATTAAAAATATTTATTTTTTCACCTTATTTTGAATTAATATCGAAAAAACACCCTAATTTTCAATCGAAAATTCTGACGTCAAAATTTCAGCATTTTTTTCAAAAAGTTGGTGTGCTTTCAGTTCGTTGAAATCTCTACTTTCCTATGGTAAAAAAAAATATATATATATATATTACCATAGTAAATCTTCTCAGAAAATGCAAAACATCGTATGCAGTAACGCCCAGACCCGTCATACCCATACCATATACCAGATAAAATAAGCATACATTAAATTAAAACAATAGATTTCCGAGGGGGGGGGAGTTTTTTTTTTTAATAGAAAAATATAGTTTTGACAGAGTAAAAAATTAAGGCATTTATTTTATTATATTTGATTGTTTTTCAGGTCCTGTTGTGTCAGCACTATGTAATAAATATGGATGCAGAGCTGTCTGCGTGGCTGGTTCCTTCGTAGCAACGATAGCATTTGTCCTCTCCACCTTCAGTCAGAGTGTCACCATGATGATGCTCACCTATGGTGTTTTGGGAGGTGAGTGGCTTTTCACTAAGGGCTTATCAGAACTTGAAGTCTCAGGCGGCATCTATACTGTGGTTTAAAATATATATATAATTGCGGGTACTTAAGGCACACGTTTTCTCAAGTACCCGCTCCACACAAAATTTTTAACGCGTAGCATTTAATAATAAATAAAGTCCGTTATTTATAATTAATTGGTAAGAAAATAATTAACATTATTTGTTTAGCATCTACTTTTATGGTCAGCTTCTCTTCTGGAATAGACCTCCCCTATTTTTTCCCTATTCTGTTCTATCCCGGGCTAGCCGGATCCATTTCTTTGGCAGATCATCTGCCCATCTTTACTTGACTTTACTCTTCCTTTTGCCTTCTTTTGAATATCTTTCAGTTCTTCTGTGTTAATTACATATTTATTGTAACTATTATAAACTGTCAGTCTAAAAGCACACTGATTTGGTCAATTTAATACTATGCAAGTGGTAAAGAAAAGTTGCGCCTTTAATATTATAAAAATAATTGGTCGGAATTTCTGAATTATTTTTATGTTGAATATTAAGGAGATAAGAAAAGAGATTTCAATAATAATAATTTATCTATTTAGGCATACAATCATTAGTCCATATGTTTATTATAGTGTTACAATATTGTCCTAAATTTTAGTTTCGCTTTAAAGTATATTCAACAATCAAATTAAAACAGCACATGCAGTCTTATGTAAGGGCAATCCAGCCTTCCCACTATTATAGCCAGCATGCTGTTAGGACTCCACCAGAGGCTTATCAGAGATACTCCCTTGCGCATCGTGTGTCGATATTTATTAAAAGCGAATCTTACTGTTAAAATTGATATTGTTAAACTAGATCTTCGCCTTAAGAAGTCAGCGGTCGCGGAGATGTATACGATATAATTAAAAAAAAAAAACAAATTTGACCCAATTGGAATGCTTTAGACCTGTAAAGAATCCCGTCGATGTTAGAAAATCTATAAATAAACGCATTTCTAATTATATTACGATAGCAACGGCTTTTGTATTACGTTAGTATAAAAATAGTTGATGGCGTGCGCCAAGTATGTTCATATTGACATGTCATAAATGGGTACTCTTTATTTGACATTGGAAATGTATTCTTTCTTTTACCCAAAAACCCGAAAATTTCTTTTACCCAAAATTACGTCATCATTGGTTTGTCTCATAAGTAGGTGATCTTCTTTAACAATATTTCAATAGAGATCGAACCTTTGGCCAAAATACTCCATTTCTGAAAGTACTTTCGAGTCCCACGCCCACCTAATCCCAAAAAGACCTTTGGGTATACCTGTTAAATAAATTACGTCTACTTCATTGCATGTCGGGTGACCTTCTTTAACAAAGTTTCAATAGAGATCGAACCTAGGGATAACACGTTTCTTGGTAGTTAGCTGACGCGAACCCAAGTTTCTAAATTTCCGAAAGTTCGTTGGTTGCTTTGTATTCTCTCGATAAAAAAAGCTTAGCCAAAGTTAAAGTAAAGCTAACACTAAAAGCTTATTACGGCTTTGTTGCCTTAATTCTGCGATACGGTATCCTTTTATGGGGAAATTCGGTAGATGTGAATAAAGTTTTTATTATTTTAGATGTATTATGGGCGTTGGACTACTTGTAAGGTGTAGACATTTTTTTAAAGAACTCTGATTTTGACAGTACCAAGTTTATATATCCTAAAAGCAGTTAAACTAAAAAACCATCCAAATTTAAACTATTCAACGCTAAAATGTTTTAAAATGCCAAACAGAATAGAACACTACAATATTTTTTCCATTCCACTGTAAATATACTCGTTGAATAAATCTCTCGTATTAATTCGCGAGGATTACGTGCAGGGCTTGCGTAGGAACGTGAATGTAAATCGTATTGCCCTTGACACATTGGCACCAGTAAGGCGCGTCTTGCCAGGTACCAATTTTTCCTCATGAGAACATTATCGAAGATATGTTCTCTTCAGCTTATAAAAGATATATAAAATTTGGGAACCTGTTCAATTGAGTCGCGGGTAATGAACCATTGGAACTTGTATAAGTATTTTAAATGAAAAAATTAATCGCTACTTAAATGTATAATTCTTTCATTAATAATTAACACTTTGAAATACAGTACAGTTAAAATAATTAAATAAGAAGGAAGGCAACTGGCGGTATTATTGCTTTCGAGCGATCACTTCCAGTCAACTACTCTGAAAAAAAATTAGATAATATGAGCGCAAGAAGGGAATCATTTAGAATTGTTACCGTAAATGTTTAAGTTAAATTTAAACTCTCCAATCGAAAGGACTCAGTCAAGAGATTTCATTGATTCATTTTTAATTATAATTCTCATGATTTATAATTGCTTGTTAACAGTGCATAAAAATAAAAGTACTGCTGTATCGCTGTTGACGGCCATAGTTTCCGTTCATGAACTGCGAACGACAAATTATAATCATATGTCTAAGACATAATATATCTCGTAAACATTTGGTAAAGTTGTGTTTCCAAATAGGTAATGTATTGTGATCACAACACTTTAAGTTGTTTAAATTGATAAAATATACGAGAGACTTAAGTTTAACGTCGAATAGACTATATATGTCACTCTTATGTCAATAAACGTACGAGGTCGTAGGTTCGATCCCCAGCTGCGCATGACTTGATGACTTAATTGAATTTGAATGACTTTCTTTCTATGTGCGCATTTAACATTCGCTCGAACGACCCAAAAAGTCGGCATGTGTTAGGCACAGAAGGCCGATCACCTACTTGCCTATTAGATTGACATGAAACAAACACAGAAATCTTTTTGAAAAAATATCAGTTAATTGACGTTAATTTCTTTGTCCCAAGTGAAATTGAGTTCGTGCCAGCGTTTGTCACTTAAGTGGAATTTCCTTTTTACCCTCTGTATTAATGTTTTAGTGAGGTTTTTCCGATGCATTCCCGGTAATTTTGCAGTACCATGTCATTAGGTTTACGGCAAATGCATTCTGGCGACGAAGGGTGAATTTTGTTTGAATAGCTAATGTCTACGGAGACATTGTCTATGATTTTTTCATGATAGTAGTTTTTTTTGTATGTAACAGGAAACAAATGGGCAGGAGGCTCACCTGATGTTAAGTGATACCGCCCATGGACCCTCACATTGTCATTGTATGTCTTATGTAGTTTTGCACTTTTTTGTACCTGAAAAGGCCGGCAACACACTTGCGAGCCCACTAGCAATGCTAGTGTCTATGGGCGGCAGTATCACTAAACATCAATACACGTTTGCCTATAAAAAAAGAAAAATCTTACCTTGTTTTTTTTTCCACAGTGGTTGCCTGAAAGAGATCGCTCGAAAGCGATAAGGCCGCCAGTTGTCTTCCTTTTTATTTAATTATTATAATTATACTGTATTTGTGTATTACTTCAACAAAGTGTAAAAAAAAACAGGAACACTGAAGTGATTTTAGAATATTTTAATTTTTTATACTGTCTCCATGTTTCGTCTATATAAGAGTTAGTACCAATTCCCCATTTCCCCAATGGCACGTGTGACCTTTATAGAACACGTTAAGCTCTCAAAGCGTTTCAATCAAAGCCTTAAGGCTTGAGTGAAGTTCATATTACAAGAGAACTTCAAGTGGCGACGTGCTTTATCACTTTGCTTTTCACCTCTATATTTTATTATCGGTTATTGCAATACCTTTTTTGAAATATTATATCCAAGTGTTTACATATAATCATTTGAATGTTTACAAATTATAAATTTTTGTGTTATTGAAGTGAAACTTCTTTAGGCGCATGAGGGTAAAATGTTTACGGATGAACGCAATATTAGCGTCACGAAGATGAGCAGCGTTTTTGTCGAAGAAAAGGGAGAGAGCGATTGAGTCCGATTGAGAGAGAGTGAGAAGGGCGAATTACCTTATAGAAAGTCGATTATTAAAATTAAAATTTCGTAGAGAGAATTTATGAAATATTAGTATTTTATATTTTATGTAAAATAATTTATTGAAATCTCAAATGACGAATTGTAAATTAAAAAGCCACGCGTATTTATAATTTGTATTAATTTTCGACACTTAATATTTTAATGACAATTAAATTCATTAAATTCCTAACATATTTTCCCTCCCTCTAAGGCTCGGAAATCTAAAGTTTTAGATTTGTATAAATATGAACAAGACTTAAAAATTAGTTTGCCAAAGAAGTTTCACTTCTGACATGTCTACTTTGTACGCACGCGCTTTCTTTAATAAATTATTTCTTTTTATTGTTATTTCTTTGTGTTCTTTTTTGTGTTGTGTAACTGTTAAATATCCGTATTTATATCTATTAAGTCTTCTGTTTCTTACCTGCAGTTGTATTTTTTTTACTAATGTAATACAATTAATTTGTTTACGAGAAAACTCGTACAACGCGATATCATATATATATAGATATATATCATATATATCACGGTCCAGGTCTACCGCGTTATGTATATATAATTCTAAACTAGTCCATTGTACTAAATGTCTCAACAATTGTGAAGGTCACGAGGACTTGGCGTTGGGCCAGGAGTTGTAGACACAACGGCACCATCAGTGTTATCCATTAACCTGGTTACTCCAATACCATAGCAATGCCCATGACTTCTGAATGAGAACACTGTTTATTCTTTTCGTGCGAATCTCTGTTAATAATTGTTTTATTTTCTCATGTGACAGTATTAAAAGTATATTAAAAATTTCAGGTTCATCAGAGCTTTTAAGTATTTAATTCCATCACACAAATATACAGTATTTACAATATTCTTAACCTACACAGTAATAATAATAATTTAAAATTGATAAATAGAAAATTAAAACAAATTTTAAAAGTCTGGTCCCTGGCAGTGTACCTTTAACGCTGGCATTTCTTCGCTGTATTGAGATACTTATTCGCGTTTGTGATTGCACTAGAGATGCGGTGGAAACATAATCAAGCCTGCCATCGCTTTATAATTCGTATTTAATTTTTGAATAATTATTTTTAGAAAACGTAGCAATAACAAATTTATGCATTTACAATTTTATATTCAGACTTCTGAAGTTTTAAGTTAAATTAAGCTCGTCCAAGCGAAAGCTCAAAGAAAGTTGGGCTGACCTCACTCGAAATCAATGCACGAAGCTTTTAATTTGAAAACTGCACTGTGTTTGCGACTGGGAGAAACGTAGTGGTATTCAAAGACCCGTGTTAGATTCCATCGAACCCGCAGGCAGTTTTAGTACCTATGTTATAAAACGACTAACTTCTAACGCGTGTACATAAGTATATACACGCAATAACTGCGCACGGCGGTGGCGTAATATACTCGTATTTTACTTTTTTAATATTATTTTTTTCTCTCATGTAATTGACATTTATATTTTTGTTTTCAATGAGAATATACTTCTTTAAACGTAAAAAAGTGCGTGCATACAAAGTACACATGTCAGAAGTGATACTTCTTTGGCAAACTAATTTTTAACTCTTTTTCATATATATACAAATTTAAAACTTTAGATTTGCTGGGACAATTTTATAATTCGTTTGTTTACAGTAAATTTAGCATTGATTAGAATTCCCGAAACTTCTGTTGAAACGTTGTATTAGCATTTGTAAACACATCGTGCGGAGCTAATAGTGAGATCATTATTACACAATGCAATGATTCTGCATGTAGATAAAGTTATGTAAAATGAGGTATTTTACTTTAGAACATTTTGTAGTTTGGCGCAACCCTAATGGGTCTGTAAGCATTGATTTTCCGTTCTAAACCGCCAAAAGAGGGGTTTGATCTGTATATTTTGGGAATTAGATATTTGAGTATCTATTTAGGCTTTTTAGCAGGTTTCGATTCGTATGTATGTTTGTATTATTATTTCCTTTTTTTGTTTTTTTCTGCATTTCCGTTTTGGTAAATATCCAAGTTTTATACACAGTGTAGTGTAGTGCTTGAGATATCGGTACCTTTAGTATTATAGGTACCAGGATAAATAATGTTGACAAGTATTTGTTGACGGTTTAGTATATATATATCGGCAACCATATTTATTCCTGGCAAACATTGTTTTCTATATGACTATCCAGTTTTATTAATGTTTTCCTAACATGTGAATTTTGAGTATAGAAATTATACATATTTGGTGCACACGATATTCAAACGTACCAGGACTCTTCATCACTATGAATTTCACAAAAGCGAAGTTGAGGTTTAAAACCATAAACAATACGAAAATAGTTCCAGCTACCTTGCCTCTGTACTCTTGCCAATGTTTACAGATGTATGAATATCCTCAATTGGTTGGTGTTTAAAAGTTCCGGAAGTCAGTGGGTAGAATCTTCAGTTGGTTTCTCTCTCTTCAGTCGGTAGCTCTTGTCTGAGCGCCGTGGTCAGCAAGGAAACATCTGGAGCGGACAATCTGTTTCCACCGGTTTGTGTCCAGCGCCTCTTTTATAAGAGTATACACTTGATCGGTCCATCTGGTTAGTGAACGGCCAAGTGATCTTTTGTCTTCTGTGTTACCAACCACGATCAGTTTCTCCCAAGTTCTCATCGCCTCTGCGCATTGTTTGGGTTGCGCGTTGGTTTCTTCGTGTCAAATAATGTACTGCAAAGGAATAATTATATGAACTATAATTTATTTAAGTAAATATTTTTTCTACTAAGTATTATTATTACATTATTTTTCTTTTTTTTTGCGACTGAAGCGCAAACTTGCTGTTGTGGTCTCTGGCAGGATGATCAGCGCTGTGGAACAGTCGGCTCCTCAGCATAATGCTGAGACCAGGGCCAGTTACAACCACAACATACCACGCATTACACACTTAAAAGTTAAAACCTACCTAATTTAAAAAAAAATATTTTCATTAATTCATTCATTCATTAGATTCTTTTTCTTTTGGTATTTTGTGTGTTTCTGTGTGTGTGTCGTTAGTAATAAATGTTATATCTATGTCTAATTTAATGAATTAAAATGAAAATATACCCTTAATTTTCTCGTCGATATTAAATATTTAATTTGCTAAGGGACATTATACCTTAAACGCATAAAGAAAATCTTCCCGGAAAATGACGCACGGATGGCGTCGACCTCACCAATTCCTTTGTTCATTACAATTGTTATGGACAAACAGTGACTCACTCGTAATCATACCCCAGATGTTAGAATAAGGTCAAATATGTTTAAATGTATGACCCTGATAATGTCACTGAGTTAAAATGGAAATTAAGATCGGCAATTTTAGCTGACTCAATAAAATCTAATGGAGGCAATACAATATATGATCCGAATTGGGTGTACGCTGTGATTAAAGAAATGTCAATGGTTATAACAGATTAATTCTGATTTCGTTTTTTAATAAAACTGTGACGAAAAATTCAGCAACTTCATAGAGATCTTTCGTAAATTTCTAGCAACCTTGCTGTTTTAATTATTTTCTACTATTATTATTACTATAATTATGTATTTACATTGTACATTCGCGGATGCTTGGCGGACCCATGCGACTTCTTCAAAACAAATAGTCCCTCGTGAGTTGTGTGCTGCTATATTGCGGCTACTGGATTGTGAGAAAGTTTCATGTATCTGATAAACAATAAACTACAAGCTCCCGCTTCTTCAGAATGCCAAATCATAAATGACTGCTTCACGACTGATTTAAGCGACCGCCGACCGAAAACCGCTCTGTGAGTTCGAAAAGTGAGTTACAGAATCGCAGGGCTGGATTGTGAGAAAGTTTTCATTTTCACACATGTATAACCTTCCTATAACATATTATCAAGTATGCTTAAACGTGTGTGATGTTTGAGATCAAAAATAAAATAAAAGAACCCGATATTTTGTATATATATTTTTTACATAATTCTGTTATAAAGAACTGACATAGTTAATAAGCTCTTTATAAAAATAATAAGTTAACCAGATCTTTGTCTTGTACTTACTACTCGTATTTAATGTACCCTTTATAGTGAACGTAATCATTGTACTAAATAAGTAAAAAAATTCTTGATATGATTACCGCATTCGGTTATACGATAGCCTAAAAATAAGCCAAATTATCGGACAATTGTTTGACTCAGTACGTTGCTATGGAATTACACCAATCAATGTACAAAGCTAATAATTCATGACAAGGTCACATAGTTACGAAAGTTTAATTGTTCATCTCAATATTATGACAGTAGGTTAGCGTACCCAGTTCCCAAATCACAAGGAGCGACACGAACAGTGAACTTATTTTTTTTTAATTTTATACTTAGCAATATAACGCCTTTTTAGTCAACTTCAACAAACTAAAGTTGGGGAGAGTTTTTTAAATGTTAGTATGTATTAAATGTTAGAAAGTTGCTGAGCTAATAGTATACACAAAGTGTTTGATAGATTGATGTTTAGATGCTTACTTATTATGTTTTAACCGTGCTAGAGCTACAGTAATATATTGACGAAATAACATCTTCCTAAAGTAACTACAAAAAATTAGAGACCTCTATTTTCATACAAAATGTATAGGTTTCTATAGGAGTGCTTCAGACCAGACTGGACCAAGGAGTGTGGCTTTATCTATAAAAATAAATAATAACCTTTTACATATACTGTTCTACTATACATAGTTTATATAGTAGTTCGTTCTAAATACGCATAAAAATCCTAGTCAAAAAAAGTTTTTCTTTAAATATTTTTTATTTTAGTTTTTTTTTATTTATTGCATTGTAATTACTTGTACCATGTCCAGACGTATACAGGGAGATGAACTATGAAGAACGGAATATCAAAATTAAATACGTCTTTGGCAGCTAAATAATAAAAAAATATTTTTCGAAAATCTCAGTAAAACACTTACTAATTGAGTTTAACTGTCATTAGTCATACATATTTAAAGCTTTCAACAACATATTTTTACATTCAAATGCCAAGAAAACGCATTAATGTCAATCTGTGTCACCCCTACACTTGTATACATTCTACTTCATTAAAGATTCTTATGAAATAATTCATCATTCATAAATGCGAAAACTGTATAGGCAAAATATAATACAAAAAAATCGTAAGTTATTTCTTATATACAAAAAAAATGCGTTCAGGATGTTGAAGGGTCCCCTCGCTATTGCAGTGCGTCTACAATGTTTGGTTGTGCTGGTGTAGAATGTTTTTACGCCACGATGCGCTAGCGAGCTGTATCTCGGTAAGGCGTGTGCGGGGTAGCTCTATTAGCATGCTGGCGGTGAACGTGGGAAGGCTGAATACGTGGGTCATTGCAATGGACTGCGTGTGCCCTTTTTAATTTTATGATTAAATATACTTTAAAGCAGTGTTGGCCTAGAGGCTAAAGCGTGCGACTCTCATCCCTGAGGTCGTAAATTCGATCTTCAGCTGTCCACCAATGAACTTTCTTTCTATGTGCACATCTAAAACTCGCTCGTACGGTGAAGGAAAACTGTGGAAACTGGCATGCCTTAGACCGAAACAGCACAAAAGGTTGATCACTTGCCTATTAGAAATGATCACGGAACAGCTAAAGAAATCTGAGGCCCAAGAAGGTTGTACCCAAGGACGAGAGTAGCCAAATGGCCAACACTGTTTTCTTTTCCCGATATAGTTGTCTATATAAGTCAAAGTACGTTATGCACGTCAAAAAAGAAATATACGTTTGTACATTAAATGCTTCTAATTTTACATTTACTCTCCGGTTCTCAAATCAAGGGCGTAGAACGGAAGAGAAGAACTGGCAATGAACACTCCGCCACTCTTTTTATAATGACTGACCATTCCACAGTTTTAATATAAATAAACACGTTTCAGGTATCGGATTTGGTATGATCTACCTACCCTCGGTGGTGGCAGTGGGCTACTACTTCGAGTCACGACGCTCCCTGGCCACTGGTATCGCAGTGTGTGGTTCAGGAGTCGGCACATTCAGTTTTGCTCCTTTAGCCACCATACTTCTTCAAGAGTTCGGCTCATGGCAGAGCGCGAACCTTCTGCTGGCGGGGTTAATCCTGAATTGCGCGATATTCGGAGCCCTGATGAGGCCACTCGTGTATCCAAAGGTATTTTGATTGTTCTTTGTTGGGTAATTTTGTATTTAAAATGCTATTTGGATATGATGATGAAAATTAAAATGTTATTGAGTATTTAAAAAAAAATCAGTGCCGCTACAACCTTTTTAGGTCTAGGTCTTAGACAGATCAGATTTATGTTTGTAATTGTCAATCTAATAACAAAGGTGATAGTTTTGAAGACGCGTTACGTTTTGTTATGGCAAGCCGGTTTCTTCACGATGTTTTTCTTATGTTGAATATAAGAAAGTCCATTGTGCACAACCGATGAAATAGAATCAGGGATAGAGTCGCACAACCATAGGCAAATGTCTTAATCTGTTAAAAATATTAGAAATATTGATTTAATCTCTTTATTTGGTCATTTATAGGTCTCCTCCATTTACGCCTTACACTGGCTTCTCTGGGAGCCAACCTCCTTGACGTTGTTGTCACCTTGTCAGTGGGCGGCCGTGCGGTCTTTTCTTTCCGCCGAGCCGCCGAGGTCTCCATTCATGGAGCGGGTCTATCGATTCTTGTCCATTCAGGATAGATTTCATAGTCACTAATAATTAAAATGTTTTTATAATGTTACCAAAAAGCCTATTGTAGTTGTGATAAACCTTTGTACCGGATAAACTTAACTGTCCAAGAATGATAGTGGAAATACCCATCACGTCCAGTTGCGTTTTTATGAAAAATACTGACCCATCACCTCGCTAGAGAAAAAAAAGTTTTGCCGTATGTCCCAGCACTTTTTAGGTTATAGGCCATATACGTAACTATCCCCGTATGTCCACAACTCCAAAAAGCCTGGCAATACCGGCAAGCAGACCACATGTGGATAGTGAACGTGTATAGCTTTCCGTCTACATATCTCATATCATCTGTGGATAGTTAACTTGTTAAAAAAGTTCGCATTTTGTTCTCTCGTCATGTACGTACATGAGTCCGTATTTGCCTATTTAAAATATTATCGACAATAGTCTGGAATTTTAACTAAGATGGCCAATTTCTATATTCTAGATTGGTATGTTAGACATGGCTTAATTTGTCTCATCCTCTGCTATCTCCATATTTCAGTCTTCGGGCGAGAAGCCGCTCCTCCAGCGGATGGCCGAAGAGAAGAGGATGCAGATGGAGCGAGGGTCCATCGGGGGATCCTACTTCGTGGTGCAATTGCCTGATGGGACTATGGAGAAGCGGATGAAGGTAGCTCACCTCTTTAATCTCATTTTAATTATATATTGTGTTTAATAATATTTACAATTTCCAAGAAATCAATATTGTAAGGGCGTGTTGAGAATGAAACTCAATTGTCCTTAAAAAAGTAATTTATTGTTCTTCTTGATACAAAAATGAATACATTACAGTAGGGTAGGGTAGGTACATACAATATGAGTAACCTAACATTGAACCGTAGGGAGGACGCGGGGCATCGCAACCCTTATGTTCATCTAGCTAAGGCTTAACTTAACGACTCGGGGCATCGGTCAAGAAAAGCTACAAGAGTAGAGAACCCGGGGGGCTATCGTACTCGCAGACGTCTAGCTAGCGAATGCCACGAGCTTGGTCGGACATTGCATTATATAGAAGCCGCGCGCGCTTCTATGTGTGCGTTGCGTGTACGCGTCTTGGTCGTAGTGTGACATTGTTTACGCCAACGCGAGTCTGTCGCGTTACAATATTTATTATTTTAAATTAATTAATTATAAAGCTCTGTTTTACAATAAATCTTGTAATAAATTTCACCGCAGTCACGGAAAAGTTTGGTAAAGGTATGCACACACTCCAGTAAAATTCTGCATAGAGATATATGTAATATTTTGTGATACGGAATACAGAAGTTCTGTATAATACATTACGATTTAGTAGTAGTTAAAAATAGGATATCAAAAAGTATGTTAAACTGTTATAAAATCTTTCGCGGTCATTAGACCCGAATAGCGATCTATCTCCAGCTATTACGTATGATCAGAGAGCCATACATATATCCCTTTTTGTCATAGCGTAAATAGAATTTATCGGAAAGAGACAAAAGAGTACTTTATTTAACTGAAATTATTGCAGGCCCCGCTAAACATAGACCCGGGCGTCCACTCCTCGCTGAACCTGGAAGCGCTTGCCCGAGTGCCCACTCTGCCCAACATGCCCAACGTGCCGACTGTGCCTACTTTGCCCACCATCACTGAAGCCCGAGTGCCTGATGAGGTCAAGGAGAAGAAGGTATTTTCGAACATTTCAATTTTCAAATTATTACAAAAATGAATACATTTCAAATTTATTTTTATTGAAACTCTATTGACACTCGCACGCAACCACAAAATCTGGTATTGTTCGTTTTGAGCGTATATGTGCGTGCACGCAGGTAACCAGGAAGTGCGTGCGCCAGTGCGCTTTTTGACTTATTGTTGGATGCCCGTATGATCTGTATATATATTTATTTGTCCTTAAAACATTAAATAATTGACAATTATTCTTTATAACCATAGACATTTTCCGTCCGTCAAATGGGTTGCTCGGTTCATGTCACTAAAACTAATTAATAATAAACACTTCCAGGGTGAGAACGGGGCAACCCCGAACTCGCAAGCCATATCTCGGAACGTGTCGTCCCCGGCCTTCAGTGCGCAGGCGCCGGGTCTGCCCAAGAACGGGTCCGTGCCGTTCTTCGACCGGCAACGGAAACATAGCACCGGTGATAGGTCAGACAATGATAGGTATAGATCTCTTTTATAGGCTCGGGCTTGTGACGTCACTGGTATGTATTCGCATGGGGCAAGGGGCTTGCAGTTTCAATAATTGTGATGTTCCTTTAAGAGTATACATAAAAGTTGGTCGAGATGGACGTGTGAGGAGCATGGCAACAGGGATTGTGGTGTCTAACGAATTGCTTGGGATAAAATATTGAGCACTGTCAAATATAAGGAAATGATTTATTATTTAGACATAAATAGTTCTGTATTAAAATATATAAAAAATATTATATATATACACATTATAAGATTAAATTAGGTTTTAATTTAAGCAAATATACGAATAATGAGCAAATATTTGTTTAGACATTCCATTTCTAATCTCTCTTTCTATCTATTTGTGCTGTCATGAAAAGTCACAGAGTACTACCAAAGTATAGTTAAAAGAGCGCACGATTAGTTTGTATTTGGTTATAGATCAATTTTAAAATCAATAAAAAATCCTTTTATTTTAAATTCCATTTCAAAGGTTGTTTGTATTTACTTATTGCTAAATGTTAGTACTAAAATGTTCGTCGCCTGTGGATGGACTCCTCTTGGATGAAGGCCTCCTCCAACCCTTTCCACATGACTCTATCTTTGCCAATAGTCTGCCAGTCTTTTCCTGCTATTTTTAATACATCATCCCACTCTTTTTTTCCCTTTTGGTCTCTTCCATTGTGTTGTCTTTAATGACCATCTGTTGTCCAGTTATCGTGTTACCAACCCATTTTTTTATATGTGTAATAATATACTGTTAGTAAATTAATTATTATTTATATCATTATTTTTGTAATGTTCATTTTATATTGGGACTTGGTATCGGGGATTAAGCATGATCGAAACACGGAAGCTATACATTTGTGTGTTTTTAAAGTCAAAATTAATAGTCTTTATAAAATATTTTTTTAGTTCGAGAATTTTCTTTGTGATTTATTTTTTAGACTATATGCATGACTAATGATGGGCAGAAAAGAGAAAATTTACGAGTTTTTACAATTGGTATTAGTTTAAGTTTTTTTTTGTAAATTGCTTTTTGTGCTTATTCACTTATCGAGGCATAAGTTTCCTTGATTCGAACTCATTTGACTTTTGTATGTCAAAAATGTGTTCGATTTGACACACGGGAGGGCGTACTAAGTCGTTTCTGAATACCCTAAACGTTATCTTTGGGTTTATTAGAAAGTGTTTTTCATTTCAGATTTAAACCGTCATTAGCTGCAATCAAAGCAACGTCCAAAACGTCCATTGCGAGTCATCTAAGGGCTGATGTGAGTTAATATCACATATAATGTGTAATTGTTTATAAATAAATTCAATAATTTCTTATGTTTATGTCAGAAATAGGTCACGTGACATTAATTCTATACTATATAATATATATTTGATTAGTCAATGTAATTTATTAAATATAAATTGTTAAATAATTGTTACATTTATTAATTATTATAATTTATTTTCATTATTACTAATTACATATATTAAGGGAAACTACCGGGATGTCACTCCTGAAGTACAGTTCTCATTTCATCAGGAGCTTGTGGTAATCTGAGGGCAAGGGCAGGTGGTAACCTGATGTTAAGTGATTCCCCATGGACACTCAATGCTAGAGAGCTCGCAATTGCGTTGCCGGCATTTTAAGAAAAAATTGTATGTAGGTCACGTGACTTTAATTCTGTACATCCGTTAATTTGAGCAAACAAAAGAAGTACTAAATATATGACTTGTACAATAGAAGATCTAGAATATTCTATCAATTTATTTACAACCAATTTGGTCTGCCAGGACTCGGAAGGCGTATACAACTCGAAGTTGTCGGTGGCCGCTCCCAAAGAGCCCTCGAGGATGGTCCGGCCCATGTCCAGGAAGGACATATTCTATTCCGGATCAGTTCTCAACCTGCCTCAGTACCAGAGCCAGAAGTCCCTCCAAGGGTACAGGAACTCTGTGCTCAGTCTGCCCCAGAGCAGGCAGACCGGGGACTTGGAGAGACAGGAACGTGAGTTTTACCGCTTTTAAAAATATTTTTGCACGTAACCATGGTAACGCGTTAAACGCGTAAAAAGACCAAAAACTCCTTTTGTGTGTCCTTGGTATTCATTTGGATCTCTCCATCGTCAAAAGAAGAAGAAGTTTTTGACTTAGATGAGATCAGAAATAACGTTTCTTTGAGTTTGAAAAGACTGTCCCCATTATTCAAAAATTAATCTTCTAAATGCACTTTCTTGAAAGTATTCTTTTGTCTCTTTCTGTCAAATTGTTTTAGCCCTGTGATGAAAAGAGACGGATATCTTCAATTAGACTGTGTTTCTAATCAATTGAGACGTACGTTCCAGAATACGACCTGTGTCCCTGCCTGGGCCTGCCCGCGTCCTTCAAGTCGGCCCTGTCCTCGATGCTGGACGTGAGCCTGCTGCGGGACCCCGCCTTCATGATGATCGGCGTCTCCAACGTGTTCGGCATGGCCGGCCTCTACGTGCCCTTCGTGTACATCGTGGACGCTGCCGTCATGAATGTGAGGTTTTGAAGCTATTTGAACCTGGATGTTCCGTACTGTTAACATTTATTCCCGTCTCACTATATGTATGATTGAGATTTGTAGCATATACATGTAATGTATTTTTATCGACACTTTACATCGATATCATTTTATCGTCACAGGCACGTACCTACAGAAAACTGGTCTTGCAGGATTCGCGCGAATGTGTGCGTGCACGCAGGTTACCGGTGGTAGTCAGTGCGCTTGGGAGCTTGTTGTTTGATGCACATTTATTTACTTCTTTATATTATAAGTGAATTGTAACAAAACATTAAATAAAATTAATTCACTTGAAATGGTGGTTAATTTATCTACCCCATAGATTGTTTACTTTTTGAAGTGAAACTACTTTATCGGGGTTGGAATAAAATTTAGTGTAACATTTTTGCGTTACGCGTCACATTTTTCCGTTACGCCTTTTTGAGGTCAAACTTCTTATCGGCGTTAAAATATGAATATAGTATGTTTTTGACTTTGAAGTTGACAAGGATTACATTTTCACTGAAATTTGCTAATCGCAATTTGCAACAATTAATTTGTAAATTGTATGCTAGGCAGTTACCAAAATTTATGTGTTTAAAGAAATAGTTTCTAATAAGGTCATAAAGAAGTTTCACTTCTTACGTGTGTACACCTAGTACACGCACACATTTTTAATTTCTTATTTTGCGGGATGTTTTTGAAATTAAGTTTTTATTACTTTAATTCACCTCACGCTTATCATAAACGTGGAAATCATCTCAAAAGATGGTCACGTGACATAAGAAGAGTAGCTCCACTATGGCTGAACGTAACCGGGGACAGAGTGGAGTGGGAGAAGTCGGAGGATGTATTGAACTTAGAACCAAAATATATAGTATTGATGTGTTATAATTACTGAAATATGCTACTATATATGATAAATTTTTCTATAGTGTTTGTTACAATTTAGTTCTAAGATATATATCAATTATGCTGAACATACAATGAACAAAATTGTCCTTTCCAAAGTGACACTGTTTAAAATGGTTGCTTCAAAAGAATTTAGCCTCACACAGAATAAATTTTTCAAAAGAATCCTCAAAAAGCAATTCTTATTCGCGTTCCAGAAAGTGGACGAGTCGAAGGCGTCCTTCCTTCTTTCCATAATCGGGATAACCAACACGTTCGGGCGGATCATGTGCGGCTGGGTGGCCGACTTCCCCTGGATGGACTCGCTCTTGCTCAATAACATCTGCCTGGTCATCGCCACGGTGGGTCCACGTGATTATAGGCTTTTTATAACAGGTGGAACCGGGATTCGCTAAAAGTGCCCATGGTCACCTTCTTACAATGCCATCTCCTTTTGCAGGCCATCATGGCTGCTTGAATTGTGGAAGCCGCGCTTTTGAACCATGACTTGTCTCCTTCCATCTGCCCTTTGCCTCGTATGATTAGTTGAAGGAGCTCGTATTCTTTGGTCTATGGTTTCACGTACAAAGCTTGCAAATGCGTTGTCGTCCTTTTAAAACCTAATATCAATTCTATTGCGTAATTCCAGATATCAGTAGCGGTAATCCCCTTCTGTACGACGTACGCGGCCTATGTGGCGGTGGCCATCGCCTTCGGACTCGCTATTTGTGAGTGCGGCTTTTCTCTTTCATTCTTTATTAATAAAACCTTTTTATGACAGAAATATGGATAAATAATATCGTTTATGAAAATCATTAATGGTTGAATGTTTTACCGTTTTGACAAAAGTATGTATGTCCCTTTTCATCGCAGCGGAAACGCAATTTGACAGAAAGAGACGTAATGCTTTGATTGAAATAGTATAGATTATTTTTTTTTTTTTAATTGTATTATTGTATATATTATTATATATGTATAATACACCTTTTTTTTTTTTTTTTAAAAAAAAAAGGGGTTTTTTTTTTTTTTTTTTTTTTTTTTTTCTATTCCCAAAATTTTTTTTTTTTTTTCCCGTGTAGTGATTGAAATGTCTCTTCTTCAGCCGGCTACATCTCCCTCACCTCGATAATCCTGGTGGACCTGCTGGGCCTGGACAAGCTGACGAACGCCTTCGGCCTGCTGATCCTGTTCCGAGGAGCGGCGGCCATCGTGGGCTCTCCTCTGGCCGGGGCCGTGTACGACGCGACCAAGAACTACGACGCCTCCTTCTACATGGCGGCTGTTTTCTTTTTGGCCTCCACCATCACTTCCTTCGCCGCTCCCATGTTTAGGAGGTGAGCTCTTTGTTCAAACGGGTATTTCAGAGTTCGAGCAGAGTTGGCCTGGTGACTTCAGCGTGCGAATCTCATCGATGAGGTCGAAGGCGCATTTAACATTCGCTAGAACAGTGAAAGAAAACATCGTAAGAAAACCGGCTTGCTTTAGACACGAAAAGTCATCGGCGTGTGTCAGGCACAGGAGGCTGATCGCCTACTTGCTTATTAGATTGACAAATGATCATCAGAAAGTTGTAAGGCCGCTAATTTATTGTATCTTTTAGAGTTCCAGTTTCATAAAATATAGTTTAGTAGTTTTTGAGATGTTCACGCATTTCTCTCACAAACTTAACAGTTGGTGAAATTATATGGATCTCTTTTAAATAGGTTAAATTTACTTAAGAAAGAGGGGTGCTAATTCTTAAATTTCCAATCGCCGTAATTATTACTCGCAAATTTAAAAAAATCGCTAAATAATTTATTAAAAATGATTAAGTTTATTTTTATTTGAGAATAGAAATAGGGTTACTTCATATCGGAAATAACATAGAGTGGTGATCGTTAATTTTTATGTATCCAACGCAGGAAACAAGAGGAGGCGGCCCAGCCCTTGGATGTTCTGACTCCTATCGACGAGGACATGGAGGAGGACGAGGACCCCGACGACACGCCCATCACCATGGGGGCCCTTCACCGACCCACCATCACGCGCACCGCGGCCTCTCCCTCCGAACCGCCGACTCCCGAAAAGAATCCCCCTCGGGGGGAGCAGAGGGAGAGCGTGCTCTAACCGAACGCCCGTTCGTATACGGAACGACGCGTGTACGTTAAGCGTATACTATTAAAAGGGTAATTGCGACTTTGCTCACGTCCATATTTTCCATTTTTACGGATACGACCCAAAAATCAATTCGAAAAATACTCAACTATTCAAATTATGAAAACAAATATAAAAAATCTTTAAATAGAGTCACAGATTATAGCAATAAGTTAGGAATTGATTTTATAACGTGTTTTAGATAGCAACACTATGATGAAGTTTGCCAGTTTGAAAAAATTAACAGCGATCTCAGTACTGTTTGATTTATTTATTTTTACCGTTGTGGTATTTTTTATTCATTAATTAAAAATCATTTACGTTTTGTATTTTAAAACTATCAATAAAAAAAATATTTATATTTTGACAAATTTTAAATAATTTTACTTTGAATACGTCGATTCTGAGGTACTAAATAAGGTCTAGTTATTTTTCAAAGCTAGGTATACATACATACAGATATCTTAATAATTTTATCTACATTTGATGATTAATTTAATATAATATTGTCTTAAAAATAATTATTATTTCTGTAAACATACCCGAGCTCTTAATCGTGTATTAGATTTATCGAACAAATTGCTTCGTTTCAAAACACGTAACAGTAGACCATACTGACGTATCCGTTTTACGTTATCGACACGTTAACGTATCCGTTTTGTCGCGAACCTTTGTTAACAACTTAAATCTCTTAATTTCTGGATGAACTTTACGAGAAAGAGCTCGACAGTGCCATAGCTATTTGAAATTGCATTAGATAACAAATTCACCATAAAACGGTACTTACAATAAGTACTTAGACAAATGTAAATAGGCTGTACATACACGTTTGCACATAGAAGTAGCTAGGTCTGTATTCCAGAACTTAATTCATAATTCAGTTACATCTGTCAGATGTTCTTTGGCCACGAAGTGCGAACTGTCAAAGGATGTCATCTGTCAATCCTTATCAAGCAGTTAAAATAATAAAATTACGAAAGTGTCACGTTAAAATAATAATAATGAAGCTTTTATTATTATTTTAATTCCATACCATTAAAAATTATTTCCATTACTTCGTGTTCTGCAGTATGGATTTGGGTAAAGGCCTTTCCATTTGGATCTGTTGCTTCCTCCATTTCTCCCCAGAAACCTCAACTGTGTCGTTAGCCCATAGCTTTTGTCGTCTTTCCACGTCTCTTTTTCCTGGAGGGCCTCCAGTTGATGGCTTCGGCGGGTCATCATCAATCTCCTGTTTTAGGTATTTCGTTATTTGACTTATTGAAGCGATAAAAAATGGGTGTGGCTGGCGGTCACGTTCGTGTGTTGTACGTGAATACTCGTACGTTTATGAACGGGTTTATCTATGATTAAAACTTAAACGTCATTTTCTCCAAATCAAAAGTTATATTGCAAATCCCGTTACCATAGAAAATAACCTCAAAATGGCGGCGATACGTCACACTTCTCGCTTGCAATGAATTCTTTGATCCTTCAGCTATCCAGTTGTATTAATTTTTAATGATAGAGAAGCCACGCCAAACAGTCCCCGATTTTGTTATCATTAGGGATTTGGATTGCCCCCGTAAGGTTGGAGATCTAACGCCTTTAGTACACCCCACCAACCCCACGCGGCGCGGCAACCGCCCAAAAACCTGGGGTGTGGTGGGCCGCCTTTCCCCGGGGTTTTGCCCCCCCTCAATTTTTTAGCTGGATGGATTGGCCGGGGCCCGTGCGGGTTTTTTTCCCCAAGGGACTGGGGGATGGTGTTTCCCCGGCCGCGGCCGTTTTCTTGGGGGGTTCCCCCCCCCCCCCCCCCCCCCCCCCCCGGGGGGGGGGGGGGGGGCCCCCCTCGGGGCCGGGGGGGGATTTTTTTTTTTTTTTTTTTTTTTTTTTTTCCCTTTTTCCTTTTTTTTTTTTTTTTTTTTTTTCCCCCCCCCCCCCCCCCCCCCCCCGGGGGGCCGCCGGGGGGGGGGGGCGCCCCCCCCCCCCCCCCCCCCCCCCCCCCCCCCCCCCCCCCCCCCCCCCCCCCCCCCCCCCCCCCCCCCCCCCCCCCCCCCCCCCCCCCCCCCCCTCCCCCCCCCCCCCCCCCCCCCCCCCCCCCCCCCCCCCCCCCCCCCGGGGGTGTTTTTTTTCCTGTTAACACCCAAACACCTTCTATCTAAGTCTAAAACATCCTTTGTCTATGGTTCGAACTTACGTTTGACAATTTTCGTCTATGAAGTTGGACATTTATGACAGCTGTGAGTTATCTTTCGGAATATAACCTAAAATTTATCAATAGTTATTTGTGGTCAAGATTTAATATTCGCTTAAATGACATTAACAAACATCTTGCAACACTTATTTGACTTTTCAAATGTTCAACCAAAAATCTTCCCCAAATCTGCTTGTCCACAGTATTGTCCGACTGAACCTATTAGGATGAAATTTGATGCTTTGTATACGTTCGAAATGCTCAAATGGATGCATCTAACAGGTGTTAGGATGTAGAATTTTGTATAGATAACTTAAGATGGGCATATTTCGGAACGAATACGTGTGGTATTTCATTCGTACGAATTGTATGAAAAGATATTCGTACTATTGTTCGTGCTTATACCACAGACTACTAGAAGGTTTAGATAAGCTAAACTTTCATAACGATTTATATAACCCTCTTCATAAAATCACTACATCTAATTGCACTCTTTTGTCTCTGTCTTTCATAATGTGTTAACGCTGTGATGAAAAGAGACAGACGAGTACATTAGTACAGTGCAATTAGATTGGATGTTTGTCTCTGTCTGTCAAATTTTGTTAACGCTGTGATGAAAAAGGACAGACGTGTACTTGTGTTCAGATTGGATTGAATCTTTGTCTCTGTCTGTCGAATTGTGTTAACGCTGTGATGAAAAGAGACAGAGTACTTCAGTACAGTGCAGTGTTTTGGATGAATAGAGGGGTTATTGTCGAAGTCTAGGGCTTGCTATCCTTGATTTTTCGATGCTTTTACCATTGCGAACAATCATGTATATATGTCAATTACGTTGAAAACCAAAAAAATGTGAACACGTAATTTTACGCAGAGGAAATATATTTTTTTGGTCACGTATTATGTCGGAAGTACATAATTTAGATTTAAGTGTAGATAGGCTATTGTGATAATGACGCCATGTTAATAATTTCTTTATTTTCATGTATTAGTATATCCCGAGATGTCGAGTTTACTCTTGTTATAGCTTTATGAAACCAAAAGTGTTATTATGTTTTAAGAATTTAAAATGTTTAGGAGTTGAAATGTTGAAACGGCTCGAGACAAATTCATTTAGTAGTCACGTTTGAAGGCTTAAATAGATTTAAAGCGAATTGGCGGCTGTACACGTTTGTCGAGACTAACGCCCGAACCCAATAATTAATCCACAATCTCAGACCGTGACAGTCGATCGATCTCCTATCTGTATCCCAATAACCAAACCTTACGAAGACAATCCATTTTTGGCGACGGATAAAATGCTCTTTGTCGTTCCATTTTACCGAGTTTTCACTCATATTTGATAATCAATGTAAAGCAAATAAAGTAAATAAAACTGTACAAAGAACATTAAAATATACATGGGTATGTTTAAAACATAACAAACAGTTTTTTAATTATTTAAAAAACTGGTGTAAGTTAAAATCTGTTAAAATAATTAATTTTGGAATCGAGCTTTCGACGACTGTGATTTTCATAAAAAGGTCTATCCACAGACACCGATACGACCTCCCATGGATAGCTTGTATCAACAGATGGCTATTACAATCCGTCTATTGGTTATTGACACTCTTGTTACAACATTTGAATTAATATTACTATCTCAGATGGTGGAATATGGATTGAGATAGGATATTGGGTTCGGGCGTAACAGTTATACATGGTGTTCTTGTGGACATAGGTTTTTGGATTGTTAAATGTCTATAAGTGAACCAACCTCGCTCGACAAGTGTGTAACCGCCCTTATATTCAGTATTGGCTCAAAGTATTGTTTTATATTAAGCTATTGACACTATTCATAAAATATTTTGTCCCACATTTTATATAAATATTATTTTATTATATATATGTAAATAATTATTTTTCTAATTTATTAATATATATTTGTATGATTTTAATTAAAATATTTTTGGACAAGTGTGAATTCAGCTTAATGCTTATCGGTTATGAAACTGCGCAGTGCTATTGTTGTCCACCGAATGTTTTGTAAATAACCGACTCATTAAATGATAATGATGACTGAGATTCGTCTTTTATTTCTGACTTTCCCATACCTATAGCCCTGTAAAAATTTTCATACTGCCTATTGCCGAGAAAAAAATATCATTTTCTTTAAAAAAACATAAAGTATCTCATTATAAAAACTAAATTAGTCCCTTACTTACCTCGACGTCCGTCGTTCCACAACTGCGTACTCACAACGTGCTGCCCACTGAAGTACTTCCGAACCAATTCGACTTAGGGTGTTCAAGGGCGTGCCAATTCTTTAAAGGCACTCGAGAGCCCTATGGCATTGAGTGTCCATGGGCGGCGATATCTCTTAACATCAGATGAGCCTCCTGCTCGTTTGCCCACAGTTCTATCTAAAACACTTAACTGTAGAAGTCTTTCTGTCAAATTGTGTCTTGGCTGTGTTAAAAAGAGATAGCTGAGTACTCCTACACCTTTATAAGAATCAGTTTAAAAGTACCTCCGTAAGTAATTATCACGTGTTATTATCTCTTATCATCACAGAAACACGATTTGACAGAAAAAAAGAGTATTGTAGGTAAATTCTTTGAATGGTTTATCTTTATATCAAAGAATTATAAGTTACTATTGGACAATCTTTTTCGGCAAACGAAAAATAATTCGGAATCGAACCCAGATCGTTTGGTTACACGCCAAGAGCTCTACCACTTAAGCTATCCGAGACTCGTACCTAAAAAACCAGCTGTATAGTTGCAGTATAGATACCGACTGCAGCGCCAACTGTCGAGCA